AAATCAAATTACATGTAGGTTGGTAGTAGTTTTGTAAACAAAACATTTTCTTCATAAGTCTTGCTGTTGAAGTGGTGTTATTACGAAATACCTATTTGAGCGCGGGGCCCCCCAATCCGCGGGGCCCGTAGCATTTGCTACTCTTGCTACGTGGCTAATCCGGCACTGTTTATCCTGAAAGTAGTTATATAACGATTTTTGGCAATATAATTTTGATAAAGAAAAGCTGATGCTGCTTTTCTTTATAAAAATTTCACATAATGAAATTGTGAAAGTGGATTAAAAATATATCCTTCTCGCATTCGAAACTAACTTTTTTAGGTTATTAAAAAAGTTCTGATTTTTTTTTTATTTATGTAGTTGTGCATTTGCAAGCAATATCTGTTTTTATTAAGTAGTAGGTTAAGGCTGGAAATAGAAAAGCAATATTTAAAGTGCCCTTAGAAAAATAAGGGTTGGAATTATTTAGTTCCGTATTACACAATACAAGAAATGATGTCATTTATACTTAACTGTAGGTACCCACGGTCATGAAATTGATTAACCCCCAAATGCCATTATTTATGGGTTTTTTATGTAGGTATGTAGACGGTGAAATAAAACCGTTTTAAATTTTACAAAGGCCAACAGATACATTGAATGTGACTCCTAATTTTTATACCGTTTATGATCTTGAAGCTTTGATCAAAGGAAATATTTTCTCATTTTCTGTGAAGAAATTATACTATAGATACCTATTACACGTACGTACATTTTAACTATAAGTAAGTAGTATAATTTTATTCATTCAATTGTGTCTAGCAGTACCTATACAAAACCTATCCAACTTATAAATTTCCACATCTTGCTGTGAAAGTTCCCTTCTGTTGACTCGTTCGTTAGAGTAATATCCTGTCGATGTCAGTCTGTTTATTAAACGTCTTACACATGTCTTATTCCTATCATTTCCTTCGTAGCTTCGCTCGCGACAGACAGTTTATTCTCAATTTTATCAACGTATATTTGTCATTATAACATCCCATGTCTCGTCGTACATGTACAATGAATATGCAATAAATTATAATTATCGTTCGCCTAAGTTTATTCGAAACGATATTACTTCTGATAATTATTATTTTGTTTATAGATATGTATATTTTTATGCAGATCTCTCACCTGATGGTAACTAATGGTAAGCAATCAGCTTCATACTTGGACTCTCGTGTCCAAAACCTGACTCATGCTGTGAAACCTTGGTGATGCCTTGGTATTACTCCGGTCGAGCCGTCCCATATGAAAAAAAAAACAGAGGTGGAATATTCTTACAAAGGAAACTGTCAGACTTATACTAACTAAAAACCACTCTTGTGTCTTATCACGCAGCAGAGTCCGACGGCACACGCATCAAATTCTAGTACAACCATTTAAGCGCCTGACATTCCTACACCATAAACAATTTAGACTTGGAATTTTATTATTAAGACATTGAAATAAAAGACTAAAAGCTTATCGTACTTTACCAACTGTATTAAATTCAAGTCAATAATTATTTATGCATCATACTTGATGGTAAAAGTGATCACAAAATTCAGATATCAATCAAATTCATGGGGTATCTTAATTTGAAAGAAATACAAAAGATCTTTAATAAATGTGATTTCATTTATCATCACAAAGAAAATACATCACAACAAACAGGACGTAAATCAATATTTAGTTGTAAACAAAATAAAATCTAGACTCCCCTGTATATGGGATGTTCATTCAATATTAAACTCTATATGCGTAGTTTAGGTGTTTATTTAGCATTTTATTTGTCAGGAGGTGGGGTGGGGGAAGGAGTATAGTGGGCGGAAGGTGGGATATGATTTTAGAGCTGGGAAATCGGGAGGTGCGTCTAACAACGTTAACTTCGGACATAGGCCATTTATAATAATAATCGAATGCGACATTTAGACGTCGAAGAGTCTGAAAGTACACTTTATTCATTCTTACATTTGGGATGATGACAGTGTATGGAAATTAAAAATCTATTAGTCCGTAAGTTAGGTAAGAAAAAAATATTAGACACGTATTTTTTATTTTGTCTTGTAATAGAACAATACTTAGATAAAACGAATCAAACTTTAGGAGTGGGGGCTAAAACGTCATTTCTACGTATAGAATATACATCGATGTGACGTCACGCGACATTACAAATCAATATATCGTCGAAAGTATTCGTTTCTGTAAGAAAATAAAAAATACGTGTCTAATGATTTAAAATAATCTACCAGACGGACATTAAAATAAAAATTAGGCATCTACCCTATTATGTATCACGTAAGTAGCTGTGGTAAAAATACCAGCGTTGATCAGAACACAAAAAAATTAATCGATTTTTAGTTAAGTATTCGTAAATTACAATTAGGATTTAAAAACACAAAAAACAATTTTTTTTTTATGGCATAAGCCGGTAAACGAGCAGACGGATCACCTGATGGTAAGCAATCGGCGTCGCCCATGGACACCTGGAACACCAGAGGCGTTACAAGTGCGTCACCGGCTTTTTGGGGATTAGGAGTTTGAGGTTCGTTGGGGATTCAGGGATTGGGGAGATTGAGGAAGGGGAAGGTAATTGGGCCTCCAGTAACCTCACTCACACGACGAAACACAACGCAAGCGTTGTTTTACGTCGGTTTTCTGTGAGGCCGTGGTATCACTCCGGTCGAGCCGGCACAATGGGGATTTTACGTTGGAAAGACACATAACTAGTTGTTTAAATTACGTATTTACGTAATTAAGTTTAAGTAATTAAAGACTGGTAATTCAACTAAAAAAAAAAATACTTTTCATTAGTATGTGATTTACTTTATGTATAGATATAGTTAAACAAATGAATTTAATATTATATTTTTCGGCTTATTCACGTCACTGTTTGACAAGGAACTGGACCACTTTCAAACCGTTCTTGAGGCTCATATTAATGAGCAGCAATGCTCGACACTCAGTACCTAGCTACTGACAATCGCCGCTTAGTTAAGTTCCTCGTCAAACAGTTACGTTTGTAAACCGAAAAATGGTTATTAATATAGTATGTCTTCCGGAAGTTATAATACAAGTAATTTTAAGTTTGATGACGTCATCTGTGTTTTGATGACGTGAACACACCGACCATCGACTCTCTCCAAATCAGAGGGGTTGACAAAGACCTTGAAATAATAATCTGTCTAAATGTCTTTTACCAAGCAACTACCCCAGTATGGTCACTGAGGGTGATTTTCATCTGTGTGCGTTGCTGTACTTCAATAGCCTTTGATCTTGATTTTATTTTAAATCTCCCTTTTACTACGTTAGCTCCACCCCTTTTAGGGGAGATTTTAGGGTTCTGTAATCAAGGTCAACACGTGTCCCGTGGATTCTATTACTAAAGCACCATTGTCTGTTTTGTTTGATTTTTTCGTTTTCAGGGAGGAAATTGTATTAGGTATATGCACGTAAATTTTAACGATGTAGATGAAAATATAAAGTGTAGGTCCTTGTTTTGATGTCATAAACATATTTCAAATTTTTTTTAACAAACATAAATCGGATATAGGTTTCAGAACCTAGTTGGGTTAAGGACTCACGGAGCGTTATCCTCCCGCGCCCGTTCCGGTGGCGGAATGGAGGCGGAATTTTCAAAAATCACGAATCCGCAGTTTTCTGCGGTCCCTGCAGCTGCAGCGGTTGCCATTATCGCCCGCAAACTTCACGGTTGACTATCGCAAGACGGGCAGGCGGTTAAACAAACAAGTTGTGTTTCAGATCGGCCGTTCGCTGAACGCGCGTGTGCTAGCCGCCTTGACTGCGGGACCGCGGCGGCTAAGGCCCGCGGCCGCGGCTGACGCACGGTGCAGCGGACCGCAAATAATCGCGACCGCCGCGGGCGTAAAACGCACCGTGAAAATTGCTTTAATATTTTAAATACGTAGGTATCTATATTCTGCAAAGGTTGCGGACCCGCAGCCACGGATAGCGCGAGTGAAAATCGCGCCGTGAATACTTAGCCTTACGTGTATGGATTTAATCTCCCTATGCATGGTATGCATTTCCTTTGATGTTTTATTAAAGGAAAGTGATTTTTTGTCATTATGGACCCCTCGTATATAACCTTCTTAATACGCTCCAATTTCAGGGTTGGAAAATGAAATTCTCTGTTGACTATTAAACCCTTTCCAATAGCAAAGCAAACCGAGATATGGAGAGAGCTACTTCTTGTTCGTTACGAAAAATATTTAAAAAAATTCCAGTTACGTATCTAGTTGGAAAAGTTAAGAAAATAAAACGTTACAACATTACTTTAAACTGTCAAATACCAAGCGGTCACCGGTGACCGCAACCTATTGTTCTATAATTGTGTCTGCAAAACCGGTACTCGACGAGTTAAAAAATGTTGTTGTTAGGGTAGATCACATTTACATAAATATAAGTACGGTTAGAAAAAAGTTCAGAGCACTTTTTAACCGTTTTAAAAAAAGGAGGTGTTCGTATGTATGTGCGCAATTATCTCGCGATTGGCTGAAGCGATATTGATGTGGTTTTCAGAAAAGGGTTTGTTACACGTATATTAATTAACCGACTTCAAAAAAGAGGGGTTGATGTCGGTATTTTTTAAACGGAGTTTATAAAATAATTACTGCTTAGTTTAGATAGGTACCTCGAAGTCAGACCGTCGTTTTGCTCCAGCAGGCTCCAAGTCAATCCCGAATTTCTTAAACATTTCTGGGACATACCTATTAGAATAAGAACCCGATGTTTTCCTGGTACATGTAGCAATTCGATATTCCTAGTTGATGTTAAGTAAAAGAAACATCCGTACCGATTCTTTTTTTAAAGTCGGTAATAAAAATATAATGTTAAGACTTCGAAGTTTTTGTAGTTCTGCTCTAAACATCAATTAATTGGAGCTATCTCCCTATTCACGAGCACCGAGGCCCCTGTATATAAATAGATGCAAGTATGCACGTTGCAAGCTGTACAGGGGTGGGCGGAGAGTGTGCACGTCTGCGCATTGGCTCGCGTCCCGGCGCGTCGTCCAGGACATTGAGGATTGAGCACTGTCAGCAGGTACGTACGAGTACGTACTTGCAATGGCAGGTTGTAGGGTCAAAAATGTGTACTATAACTGCAGGGAGGATGCCTGGACTCCTATCGAGTCGGCGCTAATTAAACTTGTAAGAGAAAACCCTCCACTGTATACCCGAGGCGGGCGCAGTAGCAGAACTAAGAAACTGATGGTGTCGATGATGTGGAGTGACATTAGTGATCAGTTGGGATTACCAGGCAAGTGAATTATTTATTTACTTAGAAAAAATACTTATTCGTTTATTTAGCGAATTGTTAATTTAAATACAGTATACTTAGATTTATTAAATATCCTTTTCGGCAGAAGTAATGTAGGTTATAAAATATTTGGTAAATAGAAGAAAAATAAAATTTAAAATGAATTTTTACCTTAGGTACTTTACAGTTAATTTTAATAAAAATTGAATAAGTTAGACATTTAAAGGGTGAGGGCGAAGTGCGCATAATATTATGGAGTTGTCTATTTTTAAAATGTTCGCGAATTTATACAATGCTAATGAAACGCATTTTTGTCTTTGCGATTTTTAACAATATTGTTTTAATGGACTAAATAGTAGCGATGCGACAGTTTTCCTTGACGGCTTAAGTTGGCGGCAATGTCTTGTTATATTAAACATGTCAAAAAAAATTAAAATAAATAGAAAAAAATATTAAATATAGTCTATTATCTTCGCAAACTAAACTCACTTTCAAACTGTACAATTGCTTGAAAAATGCTTCTTCTTATAAACTGGCGAATTAGTAACTATTATTTAATAAAAAATTGGTTGCGGCTGTTTATTTGAACAGTTTATAATTTATAGGACTATTAATATCTCCTTTAATAAATCTTTTAATAGATTTTTTATAATTATGTAAGGTGCAGTCGCGTAATAAGGTCCACTTTATTTCAACAGCTTGTAAAATCTTGCAGATAAATAAAGTTGAGCAAATACATATTGGAAATTATAATATAATATGTATTTATTTGACAATCAAGATGTCCAAAAAAGTAATATAGTTTAGAACCTAGTCCATAAACAATAAATTAATTAAATACTGTTAACATAAAAATTCGTACCTAATCGACAGACTTCCTTCATATACCATTATTCAAATTAAGTTCAAAAATGAACTGAAAACCTTAAAGAGGCCATCTTAAATTATGATTTTAAAGATCAACCATAAAATGAAAAATCTACACAATAAAACTATGTTTCAGTTTAAGATCAACTTTAAAAGTAACATAACAAAAATAAAAATAAATCACTTGACTTGCGGATTTTTTTTGTGTCTATTATCTTTTCTATCTCAATGGCCTGGCCACACCTGGGTTTAATAAAATATCTCATAAAAGTACAAAACGAAAATCAAAATGAAAACACTCACTTGTAGGTATTTTGTTGTTAATTAGATGATTAAGGGCCGATTTTTCCAAAGCCAGATTTTAACTGAGGAATAACATTAAATATTTGACAATTCGTCCATACTAAAAACTGCGAAATGTAAATTATATTCTACAGTTAAGAAATGATTGATGATTGAAGAATCGGCCGTAACGTATCGGGTGTTGTAATAACCGGCCCTAAGATGATGCCTTTTGAAGAACAAATACAGTCTTGACATGACAAAGTAAAATTTTATCTGAATTAATAATGGTGATGCGCCGGTAATGAAAATCAGTTGCATTTTTGTGTGGGGCGCTAATAGCATATTAAAGGTCATCCCGCACCTAACAAGCACGGCTCCGGTACGGTTCAAACACGGTTCCGGGACAGCGTCTTTTGATTTGGAAACAATAAAAAACTATTCTAAGCGTGTCATCAGCGTGCCGACGGCGCGCGGGCTTAAGTACAGCTTTTCTATGTTAGGTGTTTATCGATGAAATTGCGTTCTGCAGTACTGCCCAATTCAAATCAAAATAACTTTTATCTTTTTAATCAAAAATAACTTTTGATTTGATCTTTTTAAAAAAACATTAAATTTTTCCCAAATTTGATTAGTGATCCATTTTCAGCGCTTTTCAATCTTTTTCGTCATCATGGATACATTAAAAATTCAATTAATTATGGAATATGAGTACCGTCGTGGCAGCAACGGGGCACAAACGGTACGCAACGTCAACGACGTTTACGGAGGTAATAGAACAAATCAACGCACCAGTGCACCACCTGTTATTGGTTTGCTCGCTGCTGTTCTGGAAATTTCGACTTGAAAAATGAACCTAGCGATCAGACCACCACAGATGGGGCCCAACAGGGCCGATGCCGATTTGGAGTCGCGGAGAACCTAACGGGTAACCGGGTAAGTGTGGGAGAGCCATGCTTCGGGACGAATGGGCCGGCTCGACCGGAGTGATACCACGGCCTCACAGAAAACCGACGTGAAGCAACGCTTGCGTTGTGTTTCGTCGTGTGAGTGAGGTTACCGGAGGCCCAATTACCTTCCCCTTTCCCAATCTCCCCAATCCCTGAATCCCCAACGATCCTCGAACTCCTAACCCCCAAAAAGCCGGTGACGCACTCGTAACGCCTCTGGTGTTCCAGGTGTCCATGGGCGGCGCCGATTGCTTACATCAGGTGATCCGTCTGCTCGTTTACCGGCTTATGCCATAAAAAAAATGGGCAAGTTAAAAAAGCTTGACAAATTGGTCCCCCACCAACACAATGGTTGCCAACGTCGAGACGTGGCTTGCACTGTTCAACGTGGAAAATGCATTCTGTTTAACAACCACTAGCGCTCAGCAAGTTGGTTGGATCCCGGTATAGCACCTAACCTAAACGGTCTCCAAGTAGTAATAACTGGGGTTGGAAGCTCTCCGTCATGCCCCTACTCACCAGATCTTGCGTCTACAGACCATTACTTTTTGTAGAACTTCTTGGGAAAAAAGATCGATACCCGAGAGGCAGTACATAATGCCTTTGAAGAATTTGTTGCCTCCGTCCAGCTGATTTCTTTAAGAAGGGCATCAATGAACTGCCACTGCGTTTGCAAAGATGTATTGATTGGATGGGTGATTACTTGAATAATATTCATTAATTCATTAATATATTTCATACAAAACGGCAATATAATAGGTTATTAATGTAGTTATAAAATATGTCATACGACGTACAATTTAACGTTGGGTCCATGCCGGAGCACGTTAGATGCTTGTGAGGTGTGCGATGACCTTAAGGTCAGGTTTAAACCTGCGAAGTTTCAAATGTATCGGATAATCATTAACTGTATTTCTTTTTAATGACCCATCCTAGGAGCCAGGCCGTGTTTGGCGAACCTTCCTTATTATAGTTCTCCTGATATACCTATTTCTAGTTGCATTTTAAACGACTTAAAAATGAGGTTCTGAATTTGAGCTGTATGTTTGTATGTATGTATGTTTGTGCGAAATTATCTCGCCATTGTCTGAACCGATTTTGATGCGATTTTCAGAAAGTGATTGTTACACTTAGGAAAAAGAATTAGTATATTATTTAACCTACTTCAAAAAAGAGGGCGTTGAAGTCGTTTTTATTAAACGTAGTCTATAAAAGAATTATTCTTAACTACGTATTTATCTTGTTTTAGATACCCGTTGCCAAGAAATCTGGAATCGTATCGTTGCAGAGTGGGCGATAGTCAGGCGCCTAAATAATTTGGGCTACCCCGTGAAGAATTTTCCAAGAGCCAATAAATTTATGAATACGAGCTTTACGTTCCTCGAAAATTACATAACCGATTTGAAAGATTCGGAAATACCACATCATATTTATGACGTTTATCGTAAACGCTTTTCAATAACTGGATCAATAATGAGAGCTAGCTGCTCCTTGCCCACTGGCCCCACTAGTGCCGGTAAAACTTCTACTACAACATCTACCGGTCCTGATATTAAATCAGAAGCATCTGCTGCAGCTAGTGCCTCGGGAATAGTTAGCACAGCAGGCGCATCAGGCACACCTAGCAAATCTAGCCCCCAAAGCGCCACTGCAGTGTCGGGCACCACTTGCGCCTCTGCACAGTCTAATACCCCAGCCTCTGCTAAGTCTAGCGCCTCTGGTGAGAAGACCAAAACTGGGAAGGGTTTGTCTCAAACATCTGATGACCATGGCAAGTCAGACTCGAATACCAAAGCCGAGTCCCACACGAAATCGGACCGTAAATCAAAGTCTGGCGCTTACCGCTCCACTGGCCGTAAGTCAAAGCGTAAGTAAACTTTTCACATCGGAACTCCATGGTTGTCTTCATTGAAAATTTTGAATTTTGTTGTATACCTACCTATAGCACGACACATTTGTAATAACGTTATACTTACCAACCAAAAATATTTAAATATTGGAAAATTTGTCAAGTTGAATATCTTTTAATAAGTACTATGTTGTGTATGTGTATGTAACTTGTTCAGTTTTATTTACTACCAAGGTAGATATTGAAATAAATGAGAAAAATATAATAATTGATGAATGATTAATTGTTCATAACGAAGAACTACGTACAAAAAATACTATATCTACTTTCGTTGATATATAATAATTTGGTGTAATGATAATTATCCGATTATAGAAAACATAAATACAAATCGTACCCATAGTCAAAGGTGCGGTCGGAATGGTAAAGGTAAAAATTTGCACAAAATATTGCACACAGTTAGACTATAACATATCCACGTCATGCAAAAACAGTTAGCTATTCATACAACCACCATCTTTAGTAAAGTTTTGGGGATCACAATTTAATTAGACAGGGAACGAGACGTTCTACGTTCTCTTTGAGGGTTTCAGGGCAGGAAGATAGCATTACATAACTTATTATGTTATAATTTGAATAATCAATGAATTGGACGATCTTCATTTCCATGAATATAATTATAACTTAACAATATTTTTTTTAAGTGTACGTATTTATTTTATCATATAAAATATTCTAAAATTACAACAATAAATAAAAATTATTATGATGTAATTAGTTTCTAAAAACACTAAATTACACAAAGTTCTTGGCTAAAAGCAGGAATATTTATCAAATAAATCATAGCCCACGATATATTTTCATCTGGGGGCACGGCAGTGCCCCCGCCAAGTCGAGCGCGAAGCAAACACTGCCGTTCCATCTGTTACTGGAACTATGTCGCTGCATTTACCCTATTTGAAAAGCTCTGACAGACAGACAGACAGACTGAAATATAACAAAGTTGTGCCAAGTCTAAGGTTCCTTATTGCGATTTCGTTATTATTATAGTTAATGTTGTGTGACTTTGCCGTTGAAAGGTACACAAGGGTACAAAACCAGGTGCTCCATGACACCATTGCACCAATCTGTCGCCAGAACCGCTACCCAATGACGATGGAAAATTGCCAATTGGAAAATGGGGTGTTATCCGTCAACGGCCAAGTCACACAACATTAACTATAATAATAACGAAATCTCAATAAGGAACCTTAGACTTGACACGACTTTGTTATATTTCATTATTTTATAGAGATAGCAGCTCCATCGAGGCTTGGCTAGTTTTTTACAGTATGTTTTTGGTGGGATAGTGTTTTCTTCTTTTAGTACTTTGTCTTCGTTTAGGTCCTAGCTTGCTTATTTAATGTCTCGTATTCGGGATGTACCCAGCGGTAGATATGATATTGTATTTTTTGTACGTAGTTATTTCTCGAAAAATATTTTTTTTAATGTTCTATGTGGTGCAGGGAACCTACCTCTCACAGGGTCTTTATCTTCAGGGTGTCTCTTCTAGGGTATTTTACCTATGTACGACAAAAACGAATTGTAGCCTTTTTTTATTAACATTACCATACTTATTAGAAGTTGTTGTTTGCTTTCAAAGCCTAGTTAGGTATCTATACCTGGTTTGTTTAGGTACATCAAAACTAAACATTTTAATATTTTGTATTTCATATTTAATTAAGATGGTAGGTTTCTGCATTTCATTTTTGAAATGGAAAAAGTGCAATGATATGATTTAGCTTTCATATCGTTTTGTTTTTAGTTGTACTAGAAGAAATCTATTTTTATGTTTTAAGCTGTAGGTTATATTTGGAATTCACTTGTCTGAAATAAAATAAAACTAGTACAAATACTAATATTGGATATACTAGTTCATTGGTAATTGGTATAAATAAATATCCGTTTTATACGGTAATCGTCCAAATGCTCATTTTAAAGTCTGCGTGTACAAATACGGTAGGTAGATAACACGCCTTCGAGTTTTTGTAAAAATCATTCGATATTCGGAGTCCATTTACAAAGTAAGTTACTATATACTTGATGTCTTGATAGTAATTTGTGTCAGCTTTTCGAATCGTCGTTGTATCTCTGTCTATTTATCCTATATTATTGTGACAATACAAGTAATTATATTAATATATTAGTAAGTGAACATTTGTGAAATGTGAAGTAGGGCCTTTAGCCAACATACTATCGTCTATTACTTATAGGTACTCGTATAAATTATTTCGAAATGTAGTGGATACAAAGTCGGGGGTGTGTAGGTGATTTGGTCTTCATTAGGGCTTTGAAGTATTACGAACTTCCTATTACTTTTAATATGCAGGTTCTGAACCTAAAAAGAAATCAGACCACCACAGATGACGCCCAGTAGGGCCGATGCCAGATAAGTACCTACGAAGCCGCGGACGAAAAGCATAAGTAGGAATGGGATGGTTTTCAGTCAGTAAGAGTCTAACGTTATCTCACCTCACCCAAGGAGTGAGAGGTCATTGGATGATTCTCCCCCTTGAACAAGAGACTCCAAAACTGAATTGATCGTTAAATTATTTTGATTTAGTCCTCGATTTTATATCCACATCATTTTTACTGGTACTACATTGTATTTTAGAACACTAAAATGATTTAAAACCCCATTTTGTGCATATCATGTGCTCGGGAGTGTGATATATTTTGGCTTAGCTGAAGATTAAATTAGGGGAAAAAGTCCTAAACGTAACAATTATTATACCTATAGGTATACTCAGGCCTTAGTACAAGTTTGATTTACGTTTAAAGTATTCGAAACGAGTACGTGTTCGGCAATCTGATTGGCCGACGCCAATGAACCAACCAATCACAGTGCCGAACGCGTACTCGTTACGATGACTTTAAACGTAAAACAAACTCGTATTAAGGCCTCTGCATGATACATGAACTAATATTTTTTTAGTCCATATTTAAAAATAAGGTGTCTTAACGAATTTTGTCCAATTTCGGCCATTATCTTTAAACAACTCATAAGTAGGTACTATTGATTTATTCAACTGAGAATTCAATTCTTAAGGAAACCATGGTAAATTACCTAAATATGAAAAAAACTAATAACAAAACTTACTTTTACTAATAATACTTACATTTTTTTGATTTCGTATTAACATATCTAAAAATTACGCGACCATTACTTTGTGTGGTCGTGTGTAGTTTATAGGAAAAAGTTCCTATGTATAAAAATGTACCTACGTAGGAACCTAATTTCATTATTTGCATAAAAAATCACTTATAACCAACGTATAACCTAGGATAAGATCTCGAGATATTGTGTTTTCGCAATTTTTTCTAAGCTATGTGTTTGCTAAAAGGTGTAATGTAATGCCCAGTGTTGGCATATAAATGTCTATTATAATAAGAATTGATGTCTATTATAACCGTCTTGTAAAACTAACTATGTACTAACTTTACTTATCTAATCAATAAACTGTATGTCAATGTCAATATTAATGTTTTATTTATAAAATTTCCTCTATTGGCGTAGAAGTGGCTTCTTTATTATCACAAAGAAAAGGGTTATGAACAAATAGTAACCGTATTTGGAACAATAGCAGTTGGTTATTAAGAGCTCCGTCTATGCTTGTAACCTGTCGAGTATAGTTCCAGAACATTCCCGAACTATAGTTCCAGTACTTATACCAATGAAATATAGGTACACAAAATGATGTAGTAGGCACTCGTCTGGCTAAGTGACTATTAGCAGCGAAGGAACCTATTCAATCGAGGTTTTACTTTGAAGATACACGTTATAAATGTTATATTGATTGACGATAAATACCTAATAAGGTACGGTTCCACGGATTAGGATTTTTTCTATTCTATGAATGGTTAACTACAAGTAGCGCCATCTATCTTCAATCTATAAAACTACTGAAATTCATTATCTGTCTTGAGTTTCACGACAGTCCCCCCAGTATATAACTTTGACATACAGCCTAGTGCTGTTATAAATCTATATATATAAAAGAAAGTCGTGTTAGTTACACCACTTATAACTCAAGAACGGCAGAATAGATTTGGCTGAAAATTGGTGCGGAGGTAGCTTAGAGCCAGGAGACCGACATAGGATACTTTTTAACCAATACTTTTTTTTTACTTTTTACCGAAAATCACGAACGAGGACGGGAAAAAATGGGATTACGCGTACGAAGTCGCGGGCAGAAGCTAGTATATTTATAAAAATAAATACAAATTAAATGCACTTAAAGACACGTACAAGGAAGAGATATGGAAGAAGATATTTTAAATTATTTAGTTAATTAATTTTAAAAATAAATTACGCTCTGACTTCCTACCTGTTTTTATTTACATCTCGTCAAAATATTGTGGGGAACTATCCTGTAACAGAACAGATACGTTTAATATTTTTAGTTCTGCTATTCGACGCTAGGTGGTACTAGTAGTAGCTACGAGGAAATTCTAAGGTACCCTTAGAAAAGAAAAAAGAAGTAAGATGTTGGCGTGGCATGCAGTTCATAGTTACGGTAATTTGTCTTACTTTCGCTTCAGACGTTCCAAAGACGTTCATAGACATATTCTGTTAACGGGTAAAGACCGAACCGAAATATTTTATTTCCATAACAGTGGATAAAAATAGAAGTAATACGACAAATATTGAAAGTGGTGGTGTCTTATGAGATATGGTATGCAATCGGTCAGTCCGATTTTATTTATTTTCTTATAAAATCGTAATAATTTGAATTAACATGATCTTATAACAACTTATAAAAATTAACTTTAAACGATTGTAATAAAGTTGATTTTACATTGATATTATTCATTATTTCATTCTAGATAGCTTACCCCTACTCAGTTAGTGATGTGTCGGTACAAATTTTATAGATGTATATCGATATCGATAAACTTGGTATGGTTGAATAGCATATGCAAAAGTTACATAGATTAGATTTATATTTTATTCCCAGTATTAAGTCCGCCATCGTATGTTATACAGAGGTGTAAATAAATATTTATTTACTGGTTTCCTAGAGACGGCAGAATTAAAGAAAAAAGCATAG